CCGCCGCCCTCTTTCTTGCCGGGCTGTCTTGCTCCAGGACAAAGAAGCGCCAGGGCCGGTAAGAAAGATGTGGGGGGGGATTTGTGTGTTTTTTGTTGGGGTTTTGTTTTTTGGGGTTTTTTGGGGGTTTTGCGGAATTGATGTTTGGTGGTTAGGAGGTGATGTCGTGTCCTTGATCTTGTTTGTAGGGGGAGTCCGAGGCGGTCAGGATGGAGAGAACGAAAGTCAGAGGTTTCAGTCTTGGAGAAGATGGTTGATCGCAAAGAGGAGGGGCAGTCCAGGGAATGTTTTGATTGTCCCTACCATTCGTTGTTTTGCTATGCATAAGACTTAGGCTGGGGGGAACTTGGCGGGACGAGGCTTGATACGACACCTGTGTGCCGAGCGGCGTAGTTGGGGCAACATAGGCTAGGGCTAACTGGATATAAATTTTTTTAGGTGAAAGAAGCCGGGATCGTCTGGCGTGGAGTGTAGTATATCTAGACTTTGTGGTTTGTCTTGGGGTGGATAGTGTGTGTACCTTTTATATGCTTTGCTGTAGTGTAGATTTCTGGGGTGGGGGAGCGTTAGATGGGAGCGGAAAATTCTTGGTTCCCTGGGGGGGAGAGTCTCTCGTGTACGGGGGAGAACGTCGGTTGTGTGGTGATGGGAGTGGTGGTATCAATATGGGAAGGAACGTGTGTCATATAGACATCAGTTGGTGGCGCCGCGGGATATGTTCGCTTACGCGATATGTTATTTAGCAACGTTAGGACGTGATGTTTTTGAACGGGATGGTTGTTTTTGTAGGGCACAATACTGCTAGAAATGATAGTATGGTGTAGTGCCTAACGATTCTCTACGTGATTCAGTTGGTGTTGGGTGAGTTCTCAGTGGATTGGTGCGTTGTGGCGGGTCGTGGTAAAGCCATTTGGTGAGGACTTTCGCATGGGACGGCCACGAGGTGAGGGATATTATGTTATATAGTTTTGGGGGGTCTTGCGGTTGTTGGGTCGATCTCTTCAGTTTGATTGGTGATCTAGAGTGGCGTGTGCTTCTGCTAGGGGCGGGGGGTGTGTTGTGGTGGGGGCAGATTTGTTTTATTTGCGGGGTTCGGTTTGATTGTATGGTTTTGATGTCTTTTGGGATTTGCCTTCCGGGGGAAGAGGGGGATTTTGTTTTTTGTCTGCCTTTGCTCGGGGGATGTTTTTTTATTTGTGTTTGTGCTTTTTGGGTTTTTTATTTTTTGTTGTTTTTATGTTTTTTTTTTTTTTTTGGGGGCCCATGTTGTTTTTTTTTTCTTTTTGGTGTTTTTATGTGTTGTTTGGGGGTTTGTTTTTTTGGGGGGTGTTGGGGGGGGGATTTTTTTTTTTTTTTTTTGGGGGCCCAACTCGGCTTCCAGCATCCGTTCGATGGCCATTGGGTCGACCGGACTGTCAGCGAATTTCCAGGCGCTGCGTCGTCCGTATATCGCTTGGTATACGCTCATCTGGTTGGAGACTTCGGCGGTCATTTCCATCCATCCCCCTGTAGTGCTGGCTGCGAGTGGCCTTTCGATTGGGAGCCTGTGTCCGGAATCCTAGTGTTGTGCTTGCGAACCGTGACAGCGTAATTCTTGAACTGCGCAGCTGTACTCCGCTCTAGGAGCAGTGCCACGTCGCTGCCATCGATCGACACGGATCCTTTCCGGCGACTCTTGATAGGCCTTTTCATTTGCGCGAGCCTTATCACAGCTGCCTTTATTCAGCGCACTCTTCATCAGACCCGCTACAAATTAACGAATTATTAGCACGTTTTTGGTTCACGTCAACGCCTGTGGAAAACATACACGACAATCTTGCATTCCACTGTTGCTTGCGATCATGTTATGGCTAGCTGAAAATCACTCCTTGCAATTGCAACACCCGCCTGTGAAGCAACGGAGGTGGGAGAATCCTAGTTCCGGGTTGCCAGCCTATGTAAATCTGGGAATCCCTGCTGTTAAGATTGATCTCGGTACATATTACATAATCATGCGGAGTGACCTTCAACCGATGGACCCGATGGGTAAGAGCAATATCATTCCTGGAATGCGATACAAAGATGCTCCGGCAGCCATCGAATGGCTCTGCCGGGTGTTTGGGTTTTCCCAACACTTGGTCGTCCCCGACGACAGCGGTGGGATCGCCCACGCCCAGCTGGTGCTAGGCAACGGCATGATAATGCTGGGGTCGGCCCGTGAGGGCGGAGAACTCGACAGCCACATCGGTCTACCCCGGGAATTGGGAGCGAATACCCAGTCTGCTTACGTTGTCATTGAAGAAATCGATGAACACTACCGTAGAGCTGTGTCGGCCGGGACCGAAATAGTCTACGAGATAGCTGACCAGGAATACGGAGGACGCCTGTACAGCGCCCTGGACCCAGAGGGACATCTCTGGAACTTCGGGTCGTACGACCCTTGGGCCGATACGACCGACTAGTAGTACAAGACGATGGTTAGTGGCTCTGAGCCCCACTCCTGGCTACAGCCACCGATCTCACTTTGCGGCCTTGCGTTCCGCAGATAAAATTTCCGCTCATGAGCTACCTATGATAATCGTCGTGTAATACTAGTAGTGCGGGAGGGGATATGACACCGGAAGTCGACCTGTTTCGAGAACTCAGCCTGGCGGACCAGTGACTTTGTTGCGGCCAGCGACGTTGTTTGCGATCGGTGTTGCCGTTTACGCGATTATTATTTTTAATCTCTATCGCTTCATGTCCAGGCGGGACATATTTAACTTGGACTTTTCGAAGTACGAGGAATCCCGCCACTCGTTCCTCAGAAAGACTTTCCATTTCTTGTTCTACGTGGCCAAATACCTGCTGATTTTCCCCCTGTTTGCCTTCTTCTGGTTCGGTGTGCTGGTGATCATGGTTTCCATTCTCTCCAAGACCAAGGAGGTGGAGGACCTGCTGCTCATTGCGATGGCGGTGCTGACAGCGGTGAGGGTGACTTCCTACTACACGGAGGACCTGTCCAGAGACATCGCCAAGATGCTGCCCTTTGCCCTGCTGGGCATTTTCCTGATCGACCTCCGGTACTTCGACTTCAGCGCCTCCGCGGATCTACTGAACCGAGTGGGCGACGAGTGGAAGAGTATCTTCTACTATTGGGTGTTTGTCGTCCTGCTGGAGTTCATATTGAGGATCACTGAGCCCTATTTCAAGGCGCTGTACAACAGCATCAAGAACCCCGGCAGGCGCATGCTCCAGCAACCGACGGATGAGCCTGTCGCAGACACTGAAGAGGAAACGGAAGAGGAAATAGAACTGAATCCTCCTCGCATTCACCGCATTCGCAGCCCTCAGGAGGCCGACTGATGCTGATCGTTGACTCGCAGATTCACATCTGGGGCAGCAATCTGCCCACCAACCCGGCGCACCGCCAGATCACCTCATATACCGCCGAGGATGTGCTCCGCGATATGGACGAGGCGGGCGTGGACGCGGCGGTGATTCACCCGCCCGGTTGGGATCCAGGTTCGGACGACCTGTCTGTGCAAGCCGCTCGGCAGCATCCAACACGATTCTCCATCCTGGGCAAGTTCCTGCTGGACGATCCCGCTAGTCGTGACCTTGTCCCCACTTGGAAGAATCAGCCCGGCATGTTGGGCCTTCGATTTACATTCCTCCAGCCCCACCAGCAGACTTGGCCCACCGACGGCACCATGGACTGGCTGTGGGCGGCTGCAGAGGAGGCAGGGCTGCCCGTGGGATTGGCCTGCGCCAATTTCCTGCCGGTAGTCGGCCAGGTTGCGGAGAGGCATCCAGGGCTGAAGCTAATCGTGGATCACATGGGGCGAGGACAGAGGGTCACCGACGCCGCCGCCTTCGAGACGCTCCCTGACCTGCTGGCCCTGGCCCGGTATCCCAACGTGGCCTGCAAGGCGTCGGGCGCACCCAGCTACTCCAGCGCACCCTATCCCTACAGCAACATCCACGATCATCTCCACCAGATCTACGACGCTTTCGGACCCGACCGCACTTTCTGGGGCACCGATATCACCCGTATGCCTTGTTCTTGGAAGCAATGCATAACCCTGTTTACCGAGGAGCTTCCTTGGCTGACTGGAGAGGATCTGGAGAAGGTGATGGGCAAGTCCCTCTGCCGCTGGATCGGCTGGGACCTCCCTGGGCTGTAGTACGCCGCTGGAACTCCAAGATGCAAAGAGAGCCGAATCAATTGATTCGGCTCTCTGCTTGTACCCACGGGCAGGATGCGGTTCAGATCTCCACCGGATTTCCGCTCATCATCCATTCGGCATAGGATCCGTCGTACAGCCGCACGTCGTAACCCGCGTTTTTCATGGCTAGGTATGGCAGGGACGCCCGCAGCCCACTGCGGCAATAGGCAATGACCGAATCGTCATTTCCGATGCCCACCGACGACATCGCATCTCGAAGTCGCTCTGGCTCGATCAGCACCCGGCCGTCATTTCCGGCCAGCTCGCTCCAGGCCAAGTGAATCGAACCCGGTATGTGTCCAGGACGCTGATCGATTTCGACTTCGCCTCGAAATTCCTCGGCTGAGCGCGTATCCAGCAGCTTCGCGCCGCCGGGACTTGCCACGTCCTCTAAGGAGGCGCGGATTGCGTGCCTTACGTTCGGGTTGAAGGTTCGCGGCGAGGTCGCCACTGGCCGGTATAGCACCTCCCGACCTTCGTCCTTCCATCGGTCGTAGAGCAGGTCCATGATGTGGATGTCGTCGCGCCCCAGGTATTCCAGGATCCAAGAGTGCATCGCAGCGTTTCGCCCGTCCTGACCGTCGTACAGCACTGGGACGACATCATCCCCCAGTCCGGCTGCAGCGAAGACTCCTGCCATCTGTTCGGGAGGAAGCAGGCGCCCCTGCTCGTCCTGCAGCTTTTTCAGCGGCACACTCACCGCACTACGAAGATGCCCCATCAGATAACGCATCGCCGACCGGGGATCTATCAGAAGATACCCCGGTCGGTCTATATGTTCTTCAACCCAATCGGCGGAAACGAAGGTGGCCATTAGCCAATCGCTTCGAAGTCTGTGGTGACGTTGGTGGGATTGACTACAGACTGCGTCACGGGCGAGCCCTCCACGGCCAGCCGCCAGATCTCACGCAGCGTGTCCTCATCGGCGTCAGCGCGGACGAAGCACTTGGCCGAGATTCTGCCGTAGCCGGGGTTGCCTTCGTCCTCGACACCGGCCCACTTACGGATGTTGTCGAAGTATCCCTCAACCGCCACTTCCAGATCGTGGATGCGGACGCCCTGCTTGGTGGCGTTGACCACAAAGCCAACTGTCATGCAGCTACCGATGGCCGAGAGCAGCTGCTCGTGGGCGCTGGCCGCCACGTCGGTGGCTGTCAGGTCGCCGGGCTCGTCCATGTCCACGGTGTGGTTGCGCATGAAAGCGCGCGCCCTCATGCCGCCCTGCCAGGCAACCCTGGACTTCCACGGTCCCGTTACCGCATTGAATACCTCCGGGTCTCGGAAAGAGTCGAGCACTTCGGCCAGCTTTTCCCGGGGAAGCCCGTTGAGATCTCGTTCCGGTTCCTGCGCCATTTGGACACTCCTGTACTCGGTTGGTTTCCTTATTCGTCGACATTTGTCGACCTGGCGAGTTAGGCGTACTCGGCCCTGAGAATGTGGGCAGCCTCGGTGATGGTCTTCATCTTTTCGATGGCTACCGCGTGGGTGTTTACGTTCCGCTCGGCGAACGTTCCGAAGCCGCAGTCGGGGTTCAAATAGATCTTGTCGGGATCGAAGTATTGAAGCAGTTCCTTCACCCGGGCCACGATCTGCTCCGGCGACTCGATCTCGTCGGTCCGCGGATTACCACTCCGAGCCCAATTTCCTTCTCGTTGCTGTATTCCTTGAATACTTCCATTTCGCCAGCGCGAGGCGTGGCGCATTCCAGCACCAACTGGTCAATGTTCATCTGTACCAAGTATGGAAGCATGGGCCCGTAATTGCCCGTGAGGAGGACCTCCTCCTTCCGGCTCCAGTTGCCCCGGCACACATGCACTCCGGTCCTGATGCCGTCGATCCCCTCCAGCGTTTCGTTCATCAGCCGCACTGCCATTTCGAGCTCGTCGGTTGGATCGCGGCGGTTCGGCAAAGCGGCGCACATGAAGGTCTCGGTGGTTTCCTCTCCAAACACCACCTGCGACAAAGTAGGCTCATCTAGCTGAATGAAGTCGCAGCCCGCGTCCCGCAGCGCGATAATCTCTTCCCTTAGCAACGCGACCACGTCCTTGGCCAAGTCGTCTGGCGTAGGGTAGGCCTTGTCCGAAAGACCCTCGAACCACGCAGACCTCGTTAGCATGTAAGGCCCCGGAATCGGTATCTTGATGGCCCGGTCCGTATGTTCCTTGACGAAGGCCAACTCATCTAGCGCCAGTCCCTGTCGCTTGCTGAGCGTCTCGATCGCGATCGGGCTCTTGATGGCAAACGCCGGCACGTCCAGTGCGCGAAGCACTTCCTCCATGCGGGCGCGGTCTGAGGAATAGTTGAGCAGTTCCGACACCTTCATCAACTGCATGCCGTTGAGCTTGTCCACGGCGAAAGAATAGAAGTTGTCGCGGCGCTGCTCGCCATCGCTCAGAATGTCGACCCCCGCTCCCTCCTGGGCGCGGATGCAGTCCAACACCTCCCCGTCTGCCACTTTGTTGAAGTCGGCCAGCGTGCTTTCACCGGCCTCTTTGCTGCGCAGAGCCCTTACCAACTCGTTGGACCGGGGCCAGCTACCCACCACGGTGACTGGGAACAAAGGAATGTTTGCCATTTCGTTAACTCCAAGGGTGTTTGACCCCACTGAAGGTAGACGCCAGCCGTAATTACGCCAACATGAGGCGGCGACGCCTAATTTTAATCCACAGGAAATGTATCTACCACTCCCACTCATGTCAATAACGTCAAATACCTGGCTCTTTCATCACTCGCCGCTTGCACTGCGGGCTATTGACTTTGCGTTTGCCGATAACCTATATTCCACGGGGCTTGTAAGAAGTTTGGCTAACCTTGTAGCAGTTTATCAAAAACTTGCACATGATTGCCGTAAATAGAGCACAAATCTAGAAAATAATTACGAAATATGTAACATTGCGTAGTTCTCTCGGAAAAGGCCCGAGAGCACATTTGGGGTAGAGCCGGATCCTCGCGGAGCCGGCACCAAGTACTCAGGAGGTCAACGGGAACATGGCGAAACTACTTTGGAGACCCGGAACCCTGCTTCTCTCACTGCTGGTCTTGGTGGCCCTGCTGGCAGTAGCCTGCAGCTCATCAGACGCAGTAGAGGAGGAGGCAGAGGAGGAAGCGGCCGCAGCCGCCCCGACGACGGCGCCTACTGCAGAGGCAGAAAGTCAGGACCAGACGTCTACTACCGGCGAGAGCAACACGCCGACGCCTCAACCCCAGATAGCGTCGACTGAAGTCGCTATGACCAGCGGATCTGCCGACCCCACGGCGACGCCAGCCCCCGAAGTACAGTCCTCAGGCCCGGAGGCAGCCCAGGCAACTGCCAAGCCTGAAGGCAAGTACGGAGGCACCATCGACATGCACGTCGCTGGTAACGTGGCCCACTGGAATATCATGGAATGCGGTTCTGGTGGGACCTGCATGTCGCCGACTGCACCGTTCTCCAACGGATTGGTCCACTACAACGGTGAAACACCCGAACCTTTGGATATTCGGGGCGACCTCGCCACTGGCTGGACGGTCTCCGAAGGCGGCACAAGGTATGTGTTCGACCTGCCGGACGACGCCCGCTGGCATGATGGCGTACAGATCACTTCATCAGACGTGGTTTTCAGTATCAACGAAATGCTGCGGACCGACGTACCCCGCCCCCGTTCCGGTCAGATAAGGCCATACGTGAAGGAGGTGACCGCCCTTGGTGATTACCAGGTGCAGGTTGACCTGAACTTCGCTTCGTCTGCCTTCCTGGCATTCATGGCCCTCGACTTTATGAAAATGTGGCCGCAGCACCACGTCGGCACGGATCCGGCAACGCAGAAGAATATGCGTCTTGAAGAAAACATCCTCGGATCCGGCCCCTTCGAAATGGTGGAGCACGATAAAGACGTGGTCTACAAGTGGGAAAAGAACCAGGACTATTTCAAAGACGGCCTGCCCTACTTTGACGGGATGAACTACTACATCATCAACGACTCCAGCAGCATCGTGGCCGCCTACAAGGCCGAGCAGGTGCTGATGACGGTCTACCTGAACAGCAACATGAACGTACGGGAGGGCAAGGAACTGCAGGATCACAGGGAAGGCAAGGGCCGCGTATTCTTCGCCGGTCCTACCCTTTGGCACGCAATGCTGATCAACACCGAGGCGGAACCGTTCAATGACGTGCGGGTGCGCCGCGCCCTGAACCTGATCCTCCATCGCCAGGCATTCAACGAGATCTTTGGCGCCGGTGAATACCTGATTGGTTCGCCGCTGCCGCCGGATCAGTGGTTCGGCAGGACAACTGAGGAGTGGCTGGAGCGGCCCGGCCTGCGACAGACGGCCGAAGGAGATAAGCACCCCGACGAATCGCCGAGGCCCAGCGGCTGATGGTCGAAGCGGGCTACCCCGATGGCTTTGACACCACCATCCTGGCCGCAAACTTCCTGTCATTCCCCGATATGGCCCAGGTGGCTGCCGACCAGATGGAGCGATGGCTCGGAATCAAGGCAACTGTGCAGCCCGAGGAACCCGCCGCAGGGTATGTTCGCTACGAGTCTGGCGACTGGAAACTCGGTTTTCATGGGAATGGCATCTTGGTTATGGATCCGGACCAGCTCGTGGCCGGCAGCTACCTTACCAAGGCCACCCGTAACTACAGTGGATGGGAGCCGGCGGAAATCCGGGACCTGTATGACAGGCAGCAGGTCGAGACCGACCTCGAAAAGCGTCGTGAGCTGGTTCTTGAGATAGGCGACTATTTGGCCGATGTGGACAACCATTTGGTCATCACGGAATGGGCGATGCCTGATTCCCTACGTGGACAACAGGATCAAGAACTACAACATCGCGTCCGGCTTTGCCAACCATACCAACAAGGAACATCTCTGGTACGAGGAATAACATTCACAATGCCGGGGCGGGCGAAGGCTTGCTCCGGCTTTCACTCGGCTAATTAGAGGTAGCCGCAACCGGGTCGTTTAAGGGAGTAGTCAATGAACACATACGTAGCGAAGAGACTCGGGCTTTTCATACCTACGTTGTTGCTGGTTACTATCATTGTCTTTTCCCTAATGCGCCTGATCCCCGGCGACCCCGCCTATCTGCGACTCATCGGTACCGACGGCGACGCTGAATTCACCCAGGAGCAGCTGGAGGCCCTACAAGCGCAGCTCGGCACCGACAAGCCCCTCGTGCAGCAGTACGTCCTGTGGGTATGGGACATGCTGCGAGGCGACATGGGCCTGTCCATGATCCACGACACCCCGATTATCGATGATATCAAAGACCGACTGCCCATCACGCTTGAGTTAACAGTTCTGTCTTTGCTTTTGGCCACTGTCATAGCCGTCCCGCTTGGGGTGATTTCGGCGGTTATGCAGGACTCGCCCGCCGACTACATTTCAAGGGTCGTCGCCATTGCTGGTGTGGCTATGCCCAATTTCTGGCTGGCGATCCTGATGATCATCGTCCTGGTAAACCTCTTTGGGTGGCTACCGCCCTTGGGATACGCGGACTTATGGGAGAATCCGGGGAAGAATCTGACGCAGTTGATATTCCCCTCCATCGCCCTGGGCTTCTACAACATGGCGCTGATAGCCAGGGTGACCCGCAGCTCCATGCTCGAGGTTTTCCGCGAAGACTATATCCGCACGGCGCGTTCCAAGGGATTGAATGAACGAGTGGTGATTATCCGCCACGCCCTCAAGAACGCTTCGCTGCCGGTGCTGACCATCTCAGGCTGGCAGATCGGCAGGCTCCTGGCCGGGACCGTCATCATCGAGAAGATATTCCTGGTTCCCGGGGTTGGACGGCTACTCATCGACAGCATTTTCGCGCGGGACTTCACCATGATTCAGGCCATCGTGATGATGGTGGCAACGATGGTGTTGCTGCTGAATTTGGTCGTTGACCTGATGTACGGCTGGGTCGATCCCAGAATTCGTTACGCTTAATTAATCTGCCCGCCGCCGGGAGGTGGATCCGTGGCCGTGTTTCGAGTTGAAGATGTAGAAGAGAGAGCGGATGCGCTCAGCCTGCCCGCAGGCCTGCGCCCGAAACGAAATCTCTGGCAGAACCTGATCAAATTCTCCAAAGACAAGCCCTTGGGAGCGTTCGGCGGGTCAGTGGCGGTCCTGCTGATCGTGCTGGCGATCTTGGCTCCACTGGTGGCCACCCACAACCCTGAGACAACCAACTATCGCGCGGTTCTGGCTACCCCCAGCGTAGACATGCTCCTGGGCGGCGACCAGCTTGGCAGAGACGTTTTCAGTCGGCTGATCTACGGCACGCGCATCTCCCTCCTCGTGGGAATCCTGAGCGTTCTGTTCGGGGTCACCATCGGGTTGGCCATAGGGCTTGTAAGCGGATACTTTGGAGGTGCCGTCGATCTCGCGGTCCAACGACTGATGGACGCCGTGATGGCGTTCCCTGCTCTCATACTGGCCTTATCCATAATGGCGGTGATGGGTGCGTCTATCGTAAATGTGATCATCGCACTTGCAGTTGTGTTCATACCCGGCGCATCACGGACCATCCGATCGCAGGCGCTGAGCATCAAGGAGACCGACTACGTCCTGGCCGCCAGGGCCATAGGGGTTAGTGATTTGCGCATCATGGTGCGCCACATGGCGCCCAACCTGGCCTCGACCTACATCGTGCTCGCCACCATCTCGCTGGGCTGGGCCATCGTGGTTGAGGCGTCGCTGAGCTTCCTCGGTGTCGGCGTTCCTCCCAACGTGGCGATTGGGGCCGGACAGCGGCGCAGAAAGACCGAGCCAAAAACCCAGGAGGAAGAAGGAAAGGGGCGGATGGGAACCGGAAGCCCGGGGAAAACGGAGGGGAAAAATCTAAAAGACGAGCCAACATAAAGTGTGCAACGGGGAGAAGAACTGGAAAATCTGAGAGGAGGTCGGGAACACGACGAGTAGCCTTATAAAACATAACCCTGATCAAGAAGAAGAGAGCAAAACAGAAGGCCCGAAAAGGAATACGTTAAAAACGCAAAGTACACCATTACGGGACAAACATGGAAGAGGGAGAGTATCCACGTGAAGACCTAGGGCACGACAGCGTAAAAGTAGCTGAGAAACAGAAAGGGCAAAATCAATGCCAGGTGAGACCAGAGGGTTAGACGCCCTACGTGGGCGTAGAGTCTCAGAAGACAATAGTGACGACTATTCACGCAAATAAAGAGTGATAGAGGAATGATGGATTGGCTAACTTACGAGTTGAGCGGTCAATGTGAAATGGAGAAACAAGTATAATAGAAATGGATTTTTTGAATTATTCACACTATTTATTTATAATAAAAATATAGCTAATTAGCCTCGTTGGTATTTGCCTGGAACCTGTTGGGCGATGCCCTGCGTGACGTCCTGGACCCGAAACTCCGCGGCTCCACCTGACCGCAGGCCGGTCGGGCAAACTCTTCATTAGTTCTATACAATTCGCCCCTCTGGTTTCCAGGGGGGCGAATTGTATGCAAGTCCCCAACTGCCCCATAGTATGCCTATCCCATTCATCCTATTATCACGAAAATTACACTCCTTCCCGTTGCGGGCGTGCGCTTCTGGTTTCTAGAATGTAGCGAAATCGTAAATAGCGAGGCCTGGACAAGTGCTGAAACGACTCTCGCCTGAATCACTCGCAAGGGCAAGCGGGTCCAAACCGTTGGTCGTGATCGCCATATGGCTGGCGCTGGCAGTTCTCGCGGTACTGATCGCCGGAGCATTGCTGGACAGCGCTACCACAACCGAACTTCGGCTGACTGGAAATGTCGAGTCGGAGAGAGCAAAGAGCCTGCTGGAAGAAAGGCTGGGCAGCAGGTCAATTACTGAGATTGTGGTAATCCAATCGGATTCGCTGACAGTTGATGATCCGGCGTTCCAGGAAAAGGCCGAATCGATCTTCGCCTCCCTGGTTGCACTTGGCCCCGAAACAGTGACCGGAGGACTCACTACTACATCACAGGCGACGAGTCCATGGTGTCCGCCGACCGCACAACCACCATAATGCCCGTCGTCATGGCCGGCGAACTCGATGAAGCCATCGAAAACATAGAACAGTTCGTTCACATAACCGGGGAAGCGGATGGAAAGGACGGTTTCCGGGTGCTGCTGGGCGGAGAAGCCAGCATTTCTTACGAAAATAACGAACTGTCGGAATCTGACCTGCAAAAAGGGGAACGCTTCGGCATTCCCGTCGCCCTGATCATACTGCTGGTGATATTCGGTACAGCCGTGGCCGCCTTTTTGCCCATTGGCCTCGCCATAATTTCCATTGCCGTTGCCTTGGGCATCACGGCCCTTGTCGGGCAGGCAGTCGAGTTGTCCTTCTTCGTACACTGATGATAACGATGATTGGTCTTGCCATCGGCATCGACTACTCCCTGCTAATGGTGTCTCGATTCAGGGAGGAACTGCAGAACGGTCAGACCCCCCGCGAGGCAGTGGTCAAGACTGGTGCAACCGCCGGGCGCACGGTGCTCTTCAGCGGTATTACCGTGGTGTTTGCTCTCTGCGGTATGCTGATTATCCCCTCCTCTCTTTTCCTGTCCCTTGGCCTCGGGGCAATTATCGTTGTGCTGGTCACCCTGGCGGCCACCTTCACGCTACTGCCAGCCACCTTGGCGTTGCTCGGGACAAAGGTTAACGCCTTGCGTCTTCCCTTCGTGGGCCGGGCCGCTTCAGGTCGTTCATCTGAGGCTGATGGCGGGTTCTGGGACGCCATAACTCGGGCTGTGACGAGGGTTCCGATTGTCAGTCTAATTCTGGTCGGCGGTCTGATGATTGCCGCCGCCGCGTTTTTCTTCCAGATTGACACGGGAAGTAACGGTGTCGACGCTTTCCCTGAAGGTGCGTTCACTAGAGACGCTTTCATAGTATTGGAGAAGGAATTTTCTTTCGGGGTGGTCAATCCGGCAGAAATCTTGATAGACGGGAAAGTGGACAGCCCTGAAGTCCAGGAGGCTACCGGGAAATTCATGGCCTCAATCCAGGCCGACCCGCGTTTTCCGTTGCCGCCTGAGTTGAAGGAATTCCCCGAGGCGAATCTGGCCGTGGTCTCGGTCGCCATAGCCGGTGAGCCCAGCAGCCCGTCGGCCATTGAAGCGGTGAACACCATAAGGGAACAGTACATTCCAGCGGCCTTTGATGGAGTTCCTGCGGTGGCCATCGTCGGTGGTTTCTCAGCGGCAGCTGCGGATTTCCGGAACATAGTCAACGTCTACACGCCGATCGTATTCACCTTCGTGCTGGGCCTCAGCTTCATCCTGCTTATGCTGGTATTCCGGTCCTTGGTCATTCCGATAAAGGCCATCATCATGAACCTGCTTTCCGTGGGTGCGGCCTACGGACTGCTGGTGATCGTGTTCCAATTGGGGGTCGGAGCAAGCCTTTTTGGATCCCAGCAGACCGACGTCATCGACTTATGGATTCCCCTGTTCCTCTTCTCCATCTTGTTCGGACTCTCCATGGATTACCACGTTTTCCTCCTGAGCCGGATCAAGGAACGGTATGACCTTACCGGCGACAACGCAGAAGCAGTTGAATTCGGGCTGCGTTCTACGGCAGGTATAATTACAGGGGCGGCTGTTATAATGGTCGTGGTGTTTGGCGCATTCGCTGCGGGTGAAACCATCATCAACCAGCAGGTGGGCTTTGGCCTGGCAGTCGCGGTTTTCCTGGACGCTACTTTGGTTCGTTCGGTGCTGGTCCCGGCCAGCATGGAGCTGCTGGGATCCAGGAACTGGTACCTGCCATCTTTTCTTCGTTGGCTCCCTTCGCTGCATATCGAACTGACTGAAGACGAGGAATCAGGTAAATCCATCGGCGTCTGAACTGCGGAGAACGCCTTTCTAAATGCAGAAAGCGAGCTTCGGCTCGGAGTAGACGATGCAAACGCTGGAAATGGGGTCCGACTACAGGCCCGGCTACGAGAGGGTGCCAGCCGCTGACCGTGAACTCGCTGCAAGTTTCTGTGCCCACACGCTGATTGGGGACCCCCAATGCGAAGCAGTGGTTGAAGAACTTTTTGACCTGGGCGACAGCAATGCCTACCGGCTGATGAAAGCGGCAATGGATGAGGACGACAAGGGTCTGAGTGACGCACCTCAGTCGCTGCTGGACTTCTTCGAGATATTTCACACCCGCCGGCATGGTGGGATCCTTCCGCCGTCGGCCCTGGTATACGCAGCTTCCACCGGCATTCAGACATGATTTTGCAGGCCTTCGCCGCTGGTGTCTTGGTGGAAGGCTTCACGACCAATATCGCCAGGTCTTTCATCATTACTGGGAGGTTGAGGGACCAGGGCGTCAGGCGATTGAAAAACAACAACAGCCATGTGATGGAGATCTTTTGGCCCGAAGGTCTCGGGAGGCAGGGCGACGGCTGGAAACTGTCTGTTCGGATTCGCTTGGTTCACGCTCAGGTCAGACGGTTGCTGCGCCACGCCCCCCGATTGGGATGCCGAGGCTTGGGGGGACCCCATCAGCGCGGCTCATCTGGCATTCGCAGCCTCCGCTTTCTCCGCTAGGTTGCTGAAACATTCGAGAAGAATTGGCGTACCGTTCAGCAAGGAGGAAAGCGACAGCTTCATGATGATATGGCTTTATTCGGCATATCTCATGGGCATCCCTGAGACCATTCTTCCCCGCAGCGAGCCCGAGGCCCTGAAGCTGTATGAGGTCGCCCGCATCTGTGAACCCTACCCGGACTTTGAATCAGTCATCATGGCTAACGCGCTGATCAACGCCGTTCCTCTTATTCTGGGAATGCCAATACATGGTGAAGGAGAAGAGTTGAGGAAGCTGGCGTACACTGTGGCGCGTGCGTTTATAGGAGACGAACTCGCCGATCAGTTGAAGTTCCCGCCCGCCAAAACTCGGGGTATCATCAGGCAGATGTGGTTGAACACCAAGCTACGGCGCTTCAAGCGGAGACTGGTGCCGGGCCAGACCCAGTCCGACCGCTTAAACAACTTCAAGGGCTTGATTGATGTTTCCGTCTACGATGATTCTATCTCGTACAGGTTGCCGGACCACGTATATTCTGAACAGTCGCAGAGGTGGTGACTCCGACTGCCTAATGGCATAGTTCAAAACCTGCCTCCCAACCTCGTTCATCGGACCCTCGAAGCGTGTTCCCTCGTTAGCAGGGATGGACCAGCCACCCCCACTTCTACCCTCCCCTTACATCTCCCCGGGACGATTCCGAATCAAGTGGTATGCAGACTGTACCGGCCGCTTTCAACCCCCCCTTTCATCGAGATGGCCTTCGCGGAACACACCGCCTGGAACGAAACGCTACTCTGCTGACAGAAGCCCCCAGGGAAATCGCGTCTTAAACGCCGGAGGCCCAATAAGTCGTCATTCCCGCGCAGGCGGGAATCCAAACCCCCGTCTACCCTGGCACTCGGAACCGAGGGAGGCACTGCCACTCCCATATCCACCGCCATTCAGACCAATTTTGTGTGCTGAGTAATAAGACGCGATTGCCCTGCAGAAGCCCCTTGCCAAGCCTCATGGCACCCTTTTATTATGTGACCATGTGTTCGTATGCCGGTCTTCCACATCTGTACGGGCCCACTGCTTTCCCGGCTGTCGCCATGGCCTTCTGGTCATCCGCAAACCAGCCGGAACGACCGGATGGGACAAATGGGACACAATGGGACAAAATGGTGCAGGAATTGCAGTTTTTGGCCAATTAGGGCAAATCTCAGATACGACGGATCCTGATTTTGGGACAAAATGGGACAAAATGGGAATCGGGTGGGAAAATTTTCCCATGAGGACACGCATTCACCTCCGGAGGCCCGCCGCTCTCGGATAGCGGTGCTCGATTCCCTCTACAGGCACGGAAACTCTCTGGC